GCTATTACCTATGGCCTTGATCGTGTTCATGCAGGTGGCACTTAGGCGGGGGCACGTGTGCCTGATTATGACACTTGGGTGTGTGTGCATGTGCCAGTGTGACTAGGACAGAAGTGTGGTCTCACTTCTTTTCAGCCTGAGGTCGAGTTATAAGAGCAAGCTTCCCAAGAGGTTCTCAGTACACTGGATTTTCTAATTTGCATCAGGTGTCAATTTATTGACCTAGTCAAAGTCCAATCACTTTAAAGGGCTTTGACTTCCTCTCAATGAAAAGTTGGGGGGAGGGCACATTCTAAAATAGATGCGGAAATTATGAGGAAAAAAATCAGAATCTACAATGTTGGGCAATTTATAACAATATTGGCATAGACTCAGAAATAAATGAATGTCAGAGATAAAACAGACTATTCTTTATACCCAATAACAGTAACCTAAAATTTTGATTAGATCCAGAGGTAAGAAGAAAACCATTTCTAAACGACATTTTATGAAAATTAGGATATAAAATTTTCTTAGAATAGATACTGAATTATTTTTATTTTTCATAGATTTATTAACATGAAAAGTTACTTCCAAATCATTCAGAAAAATAACAGGAAATAAGAGAAAGGTAAAGTTTATGTAGAAGAGTTGAAATAAGTGGATCAAGGTGAAGAAACTGCTTGTTGAATTATCCTTGAACCCTTTTGGTAATGTGAATCCTCCTTAAACTGACCCTTCTAGCGCTGCAGCTATTAGCTTGGCCACTATGTGGCAATAGACTCACTTTTGAATTTTTCTGAACACACTACAGGGAAATAAGAAATGTTACTCTCCCAAAAGCTGGCTCTAGGATGACAAATGTGTTTAAAAAAAAAATTCTGAGAAGGCAAGAATCACAGAGAAATTCAAACTATTCAATTGCAGTTTGAATTTTCTCTGAATTTTCTTGGCTGGACAGCAGGGACAACGCTGAAGAAACCATCAGTTGGAGAAATCTAGTTTCATTATTTGTTCCACAATGTTCAACTCCGTGACCTTACCTGAGAGAGCGGCGAGTAGGTCTCACATATAAATGTAGAAATGAAACTCAGGAGTCTGATTTTCTTGCCAGCTTTAAGATTCATTTATTTATTTATGCAAGCACTGGGTACAGTCAGAAATGCAGGAGGGTGAGAAAATTCACCAAAGCCAGAGCGGGGAACAGAACAGGCAGACTGATCAAGTACACTGCTGAGGGGAGCAGCGGGTGGCAGGAGAGGTCTTCACGCCATGTGGGACCCTCACCGGTGGCCGGGGATCGAACCGGAGCTGCAGAGGCTGCGGGCAGTTTCACAGCCCAGCACTTAACTACTGCACCACCAGGGTAGCCCTTCTTGCCAGTTTTAAACAATGACTCCTCTTTTTGATTTGACCTAAATATGGTAACTAATACTATTTTCCTGAGGTTTGGTTGTCAGAGACAGTGACACTAGAGGGAAATGACTGACAAACTCAAGTGTCACTGTGTGGATGTGAAGAGAGTCCCGTGGAGAGGGACATATAGTTCTTAAAATGTGAACAGATGTGATGACAGTTGACATAAGTAACTGTCTGATACATGTTTGCAGCATATGGGTAGGTGTTTCTAAAATCATACCTAAATACACTGGATTCCTGTAATTTTGACTATAGAAATTGCTAGTTAGAGCCGAATACTCTTCTTCCTGTTCCCCTGTGTTGTCCTCCATAGATGAGCAAGTTTGGGGGAGTAAAGTAAAAGAGGCAGTGGATATTAAAACAGAGGCAGTGGAACATCGGAAGAGGACCTGAAATGAAATGATATAAATTCCTCTGGCATGACAGATCTAGGAGCCTATTGCTCTTTTATTATTTTTTTATTACTTCGAAAGTAACTATTTCCCTCTTTGTCATGCCCACTGTTATAAAACCATTTTTTCCCTGCTAAAAAGTAAAGTCCATTCACGAGGGAACATGTCTTTCCAAACTAATTGAATCTATTGATTAAAAATCACTTGCTTATGCCCTATCTTTCTAATGTTTGTTGCTATTTTAGGATTGTTGAATCCTTTCAAAAACTGCCTCTGTGGTATCTAGTCCTAGCATCCCAACTACCGGAAGAAATCTCACCATATACAATGTGTGAAGTATAGTGTGAACAGAAATAATTTGAAAGCTTGCTCTGTAAATTAAGTAGAAGAATAAGCACCAGTTCCGGTCTCTTCCCCTTCGTGTACTCCCGCCCTGTGTGCTGTGGCTGTGCATCACCCCATCCCACCAGGAGTCCATTTCTCTCACTCCTTGAGCCTGGACTGCTCTTTTGACTTGATGTGTCCACATAAGGGGAGAGTGAGCGCTCAGCTGTAAACCTGCACCCCTCTACCTGTGGACTTCTGCTCATCTGCCTGTGAATAACCTCCAATAACCTGATGAATAAGCATGTGGCCCTTTCTGCCAATCACACAGGAAACCAACTGGCCCCCACAAACTGAATCACCCCAGTCCAGTTGGTCCTCAGCTGATTAGTCAGCTGCTCCTAGAAGCACGCAGAAGCCCAGAAAATGTAAGTTGAACTAGAACTAGATGAGAGGAAACTTCCTGCTGTCTTGTGCAAAACTAAATGGCATGAACAAAATTAAAAACTGCTTTTTTAAGTTACTGAGTTATGTAACAAAATACAAAACTCACTCAAATAGTGAGCACAGATGTTCCTGTTTTATAATTCTATTTTGGCATTATATAATTTCATTAATTCAATTAAAATAATTGGCCACTGACTTTTTCATTCTGATTTTATGGACTAGACATTTTGGAGGTAATTTTGGTTTGTTTTAGCAATTTCTCTAGGTTATTTTTGTCTGTCTCTGGTTGATAAAGTGCGATGAACACAACTATAAGCAAGAATATGGATAAGCCAGAAGTAGTTCCACTACATGCTGCACTAGGGCTAAGGTGCATGAAAATGTTTAAATAAACACAGTCAATGGCCTTAAAGACCTGCAAATATATTAGCATGATAACAAAACCAGAGATAGCCAAACAGATAATATATTTAATCCAAAGTATGTGACCAACATTAAAATATAGCATAGACTGCCCTCTGAAACAATTATGGGTATCTACACAGCAGACAGACTTTATTTGAATCTTACAATAAAATCTTACAATATAAGGTTTTCAGCACATAAAGAAAACCTGGCATTCAATCAGAAAAACAGCAGGAACAAAGCCATTCTCAACCCAGACTATGTCTCTTCATGTATTGTTTTGTTAACCACCTGCAATTTCCTACAGAGCTTAAACAATGTCCTAGATATGTAAAGGTTTTTTGCATCATTCTCCAGTCAAGACCCACAGTGAGTGCCCACCAGGGCCAGCCATGTTTCTAGGGTCTTGAGAACTATCAGTAAAGAAACAGGGAAGGATATTTTGACTAAGGCGCTTCTATTGCAGATCCAGTCCTTGGTTTGCAGAATCACTTCAGGTATGAGATAAGCATCAATTTAAATCATCCTGTATTCACTTCAGCACCAAATAATAAATTGAAATACTGCAGTAATAATTGGATATTGCTTTTCCTGTTTCAAACCTGACATTATTACTAATGAACAGAAATAATGAAACAAAAACTTGGAGAAGGAAACAAACTACCTGGAGGGTAGGTTCAATCCACATTTTGGGGTGATTCTCATTGAATGTCTTTACCTGGGAATTTTTTGCATGTCGCACTTGCCTATTTCCTAAAGTTGAACACTGGAGATTTCCCACAAAGCACAAAGGTTAAGTCTAAGGCTAATCAGCTGGGCGGTGTTTTGATGTTAATTTTGAAATGGCCCTAATAGACCGTGTTGGGGTGGACAGTGGAAGTGGCTTCATTTAACTGGGAGACCAGATTTCATTCAAGCTCTGTGACTGGGTCACCTTTTAAATGTTGAAAGATCAGTTTATGTTGCTTTTATTATTATTTGAAAAAAACAAAGATCCTTTTTGAAAAACTGTTATTATCACTTCATCGCCCTAGTGAGGTTCTTGCATCAGCAGCCCCAGAGGTGAGCAGGAGGACTGGCTGGTACCATCTCACTCCAACGGCATTAGAGACCCCAAGTGACCATCTGGGTAAAACACTCAATAAATATTGAATTTGATGATAAAATTACTTACATTCTTGTTCAGGAAAGGGTTATTGAGCATCAATGATGTACCAGAACCATGCATTGGGTAGCAATATTAGGAATGTCCTTGTTCTCGTGGTTCTGAGTCCCCTGCAGAGGACCTAAATAGTAGGAGTAGCAATAATAACCTGCTAACAATAATGATATTAATAATAACAACAACATAGGCAAATAAATAGCTCTCCAACCGTGTATATTATAAAAGAAATCAAGAAGGTGTTGTAAAGCAGCAAAATGGCATAACCCTCTTCTCATTGCTGAGGTTTGTTTTTTTTCCCTTTGTTCTCCTTTCATTGGTTGGAAAATCACCACAGAAGTGGCGCCCATTTGAACTACTATGGATGTAATGTGAATTCTGTCTGGGATAAACCACAAGACTGAGCCTGCCAGGCCAGGTGAGGTTAGTGGTTTCATGTCTTTATGGACTTTGGTGGTTGTTCTGCCACAACCCAGTAGTTGATGGTATGAAAAATCTATGAGAGATCCACAATCTTTAGAAATCATTGACTACAACTACATTTTTCTGCATGTGAGCTAAGGCACAGAGAGGATCCATGTACAGAGACCAGCATTAGAAACCATTTAATGGTGTGAACATTTTCCCACAAAACAGCAGTGCCTCTTAAAATGAGATGTATGATTTTCTATATGTCTGTTTCTCACTTACAGAACGTATAGGTTTGACATGAAATTCTGTGAGATTCACAACCATATTTAGAAATCTTTGTATTTGTTCACTTTGTGCAGCTAAAGTCACCTCGGGCCATTTCAACATTAAATTACATTTTAAGGGTTAAAATTAGACGTGTGTGTTGGGGCAGGGACAGGAGGGGGATGCACACTCCAGAGTCAACACAGAACAGGCTTTATTTCTGATGTTTTAAGTTCTTTTGGCAAATCCACTTATTTTCCGCCTCACAGTTCTCAAATGCTATTTTTTTATGTGAGATGTAAGCGCAGTTGTTTTCTTTCTCTTCACCATTAATCTGCAATCTATGGAACAAAACAAAGTATCTTTTATATTTGGATTTTCTCACATGATTCTCCTCATCTGGCCACTGTTTCTACGGCTCTCTGGAAGGAGTGGGGGGGCTAAATGTCCCAGTAATTCACAAATATAATGGTACAACTCTTTCATGTAAGGCTAATGTCAATCTCTGGACCTTCCAACTTCCTCTTTACTGAAGCAGAATCATTCTGGCAAGAAACTTCACAATGTATCTACAGAAGAGAAGCTGTGGAATCTGGGTACTGAGTCTCCATAGTCTGTTATTAACTTGTCACGTGAAAAATTCTTAACTTCACACAGCCTGAGTTTTCTTCAATCTACAGGATAAAGTCACCGGCTATCTGGGGTGGCATGGAGATGATGTGCTTGAAAGCGTGACTGTGATTAAGCAAAGCATGTGGTCAGTAATGTGGCGGGTTCATGCAAACTTGATTAAATCATTCATGGATACACATGACATGTCATCCAAAAACTCATCCAAAGTCTGTATAGCAATAACCTTTCCACAGTGAGGTTATCTTGGTCATTTACACAAGATGCTATATTGAGACATCCAGTAGCAAACAGAAAATAGCTCCTTTGCAGCCTATGTACTTTTTTTTACATAAATGTCTTCTAACAAAGGTTAGAATACACTACACAATTTCTCAAAATGTGGGTAGTTTCTTTTTCATGCCTGGGCTCCACACTCTGACACTGAATATTTTTTTCCCTTTCATAATAATTTTCCAGTGCTGGTTGTAACCACTAAGGTATGTAGTCCCACAGTTTGAAAAAATACTTAAAATTTCTATGTGCCAACAGGCTGCAGTTAGGGAATTTTTTTTTTTAATTGTGTGTGTTTGTGTGTGTGTGTGTGTGTGTGTGTGTGTGTAGAAGAACTGGGGTACATGCCAGAGGTGTGAACTGTGAAAGGATTCACCAGAGACAGAGTGGGGAGCAGAGCAGGTGGATCTACTGTGATAATACTGCTGAGGGGAGCAGCGGGCGAGAATGGAGAGGTCTGCTGTACCATGTGGGTAGCTTCCTGGCCGGGGACCAAACTGAGGCTGTGGTGGTGGTAAAACAGAGACAACCCCTAGGCCACCAGGGTGGACCCAGTTAGAGATTTTTAAAATGTTCATATGCCCCCTCCAAAGGAGGTAGTCAATTCTTTTTCTTCCTTTTTTTTTTTTTAAGATTTATTTATACAGACAAGAACTGAGGTGTAAGCCAGAGGTGTTGTGGGGTGGAGGATTCACCAGAGAGAGTGAGAACAGAACAGGCAGATCTACAGATATACACTGCTGAGGGGAGCAGCAGGGCGAAGCAGGAGAGGTTGCCTGCACCATAAGGGTAGCTCCCTGCTGGCCTGGGATCAAACTTGTGCTGCAGTGACTGGCGATGGCTTGACAGTGCTGTCTTCAACCCCTGAGCCACCAAGGAGGCCCTCAATTCCTTTTCTTCTACAACTCCACTGCACATGAATCTTTTCATATGTGAAATTGTCATGTAATATCAGACTTAACTCATCTCAGCTAATTCTGAAACTCTTGACAATTTTTAAGTTAAATTAAAACTACAAAACTCAATCTTTAAAAGCAATGTTACTGCCCTACAATGAAAACCTGACGTAACGTGAATATTCAAATAGCCTGTCTCATACTCACATATTAGAATTTAAAAATGAGCCATTTACCCACTTCCATTTCTTCTCTGATAATGTAAAATTCAATCCAATCCAAAAATTAAGTCCTTTATCAGGTAGCTGGTGTTGTATGAGTGTCTATAAATGGAACAGAAGAGATGATTGAATATTGAATGTTTTTCTGTTCGTGGCTTGCACTCCCCTTCAGTTCACCCGCTAAAGCCCAGTTCATGTATCACTTCCTCTGTGAAACCTCTCCCTGCCTCCCCCTTAGACTTAATTATCCCTTTGTGATTTTTCTCTCTGGCTATTTAGATTTGTATTGTATTCATCCAATTGCCCTCTATTTTTTGCTTGTCTGCTTAGTCTCTCAGATGGTGAGCTTCTTAAAGTAAAAGTTAGTACTTCCATTATCCTGGAATCTTTAAGCTAAAGCTCCAAGACCTTGCTGTGGCAGAAGAAACTGCTAAGTTCTACTCAATGTTTTATGTAATTATTTACCAATTCTTCCTGATCTTGAATAAGCACCAAACTGGCTTCTTTTGTTAAGCAGTCAGCTAAACTGTGAGTCCAATGTTGGGGAGAACTAGAAATAAAAACCAAGCATTTCTCTCTGAGCAGAATCCAATCTTTGGGGCACTTCAACAGACTTGGCCTTTCTACAATAAGAAAAAGAAAAAATAGAAGTGTTATATTTCTAACCAGCCTCCATCCCACCACAACTTATCACACATGCACAGGTATCGTGAATGTGATAGGGGGAAAGGAAGTCCTAAAGCTAATCCCACAGAGGCTTTGTGGACTCCACCCCCATTCCAGACCAAAGCCATCAGGACATTGGGAAAGACAAATCCCATCACCACCAAAGGGAAAGTTGCTGGAACCTGAGGGTGGGGTTAAGCAGCCAGGTTTGGTATAAAACCAGACAGGTGGGCTTTGAGGGGTTCCTTTTTTTGGCTCTCCGCCAGCTCGTGGCTCTTGGCCAGCTCTCAGCGTGCCATTGGGTTTCCAGGCCGGCAGATCGGGTAGGACGTATTTAAGACTTTATTTCCCTGTTTTCTCCCTGAGTTGTACATTTCCTCATTTCTCTTTCCCCTGTAAATAAACCTTTTATTAACCTTTTGTGTGTGCCTGTAGTGGAGTATTAATAAGTGCCTTTTAAGCACGCGGGTGGGGACCCACAGCCAGGCAACCCGTTTTATATCAGGGCTGCCCTGTAACAAATGTACTGAAGTTTTTGTAAGTAATACTCATGATTTCATTATATTCGCGAGGAAATTGAAACTGCTGTCTATTCTGGTATCACGAATAAGGAACTAGTGAGCAGTTACACTGGGCATGAATTGAATTAAGAAATATTAGAACAGGAAAAGGCTTTCAGAGTAACTTAAGCAGCCACATCTTACATTCTAAGTTTCTGACACACAGAACAATCGTTCAAATCCACATAATCCAATGATGGTAGAGTCAAAATGTTTCAGAGTTTGCTTAAATTTGCTGCCAGTCCATACATGGACAACATATGCAAATGACCCAAAAATATTTACTTTAACAGCTTGCATAAAGCAAAGCAAACAATAATTCCTTTCCTAAATTAGAGTCAAACATCACGGAGAAAAAGTCTTAAGAAACATTCTAATTGCCAAGTTACATATTTTCTAATTAATGTGACCTATGGCATAACAATTTGCAGAGTATTTTTCAGATATCCTACAATTTCTGTTCTGTTATAATATGTACAATAAATTTCACATTCTGGTACATTCAACAATAGACTATCAAAACACACTACTTATTGGAACATAATATCTTCATGATTAATACAATAAATATTTAATATTCACTTTATGTTTGAGTGTGATTAACATCAGTCTAATGTATTCATTAAATTAAAATATCCCACTTACATGCATATTTTACTTTTCCCCTTAGAACCTGGTTACTGATTATTGACTATCTGAGCATCAGTTCCTCATGTGGGATTTGCTCTGATGATTAGGATCATCACAGACTTTGAGGAGAGACTCCTAAAGTACTATCTGGTCACCAGGGACTAGTCGTATGACCCCATGTGAGCTGTTCATCTTTTCATGCCTTAGTTTGTCAAACGTAGAATAAGTGATTATAGCATATTAATATATGCACTGTTATGAGCCTTAAGGAAGGTAATCCATGGTATCTATCAAATACCAGCGGTTACTCTTAGACATTTAAACCACAAGATCACCTGTAGTTTCATTTCTGTTCTTTTGAACATCTTGAACATCCCCAGTACAATTGTTTGTTGATGATGATGTCAGTTTCAAGGATATCACTAGTAAAAAAGCATTAAGGAAGTTAAAATAATCAAATGGACAATAAAATGAAAATATTTATCTCTTCAGGGAACTAAATGATCTCAACAAGCTTGAATACGAACAGAAAATAAAAGAACAGAGGTGCAGTAACAAAGTGTTTAGTTTGGCAACTACAATGACTACATAATAAGCAAATAAGAATATCCACAAAACAAGGGAACTCACTTGGACATTGAGTTGCCTGTTTTCTACTAGGTAAGTCAATATAAAGGTGCTAAATTCTTAAAGTGCTTACACTTCTCTCTGAAACTTTTCCTCTTCAGATTGAGTATAATTATATTTACCCCATGAGAGAGATTGTTATTGCATTCTGGAATTTTTTTGATACTTAAGAAACTGTAAATGAGTAGCAACTTAAAATTTCTTCATTGTTGCATATTTTTCTCATAATTGTAATCTTCTTTTAAGTTTTTGTAAACTCCTTTTAAGTTCATACATGTGAAATCCCTATGGAGACTTAGCAGAAAATTCAGAAAGAAAAAATAAAATGCTGTAATTGCAAAGTGGATATGGGCTGAGCATTATTAAAAGTATTGTTTTGTTATTGTTTTTATTTCACTGGTCTTTTACTATATCTGGGTGGTCAAATTATGTTAAGATACTCTAATATTTATGAGAGCAGTTGAGTAAATGTTCTGAAGCAAATGGTCTTGAATCACTTACCTGAAACACTCAACCCAATCACAGCCAAGGAGAGAAGAATAAGCCCAGCACAGCCAACTTTCAGAGCAAGTTGATGCCAGGATGGACACTGACAGACACCTGAGAAGGTAAGAAAATACATGCATTTAATTCCCTTGAGTTCACTGGTACAATAAGCACAGGTAGTTTTTTTTTTAATATTTATTTTTATTTATTTATGCAAATAAGAACTGGGGCACAGGCCAGTGGTGCAGGGGGTAAGAGGATTCACCAGAGACCATGTGGAGCAGAACAGGAAGATACACTGAAATACACTGCTGAGGGGAGCAGCAGGTGAGATAGAAAATGTCTACTGTGCCATGTGGGTCATTTTCCTGGCTGGGAACCCAACTTATAGTCACAGTGGCTGGCAATAGGATGACAGTGATGAGACTTTATCCCCTGTGCCATAGGGAGACTAGCACATGCAATTTTGATCACATTTGGATAACTGGGGACAGAAAAGAACATTTATCAGACTTCTTAATGTAGAATCCCGCAAAATTAATTCTCTATCACATTTACCTGGAAGTTAACTCAGTGATAAAAGCTGAAATATTTATGCTGTCTTATGTACAAAAGATTGGTTTACAAATTATCAAGTGAGATAGACATAAGATATTTTGAAAATTGCCAAGTGTTATAAGAAAATAAAACATCTGTCCTATTCCAGAGAGTATGTCAAATTATTTTGTCAAAAAAGGATCACCTTCACTCATTGAAGATATATTTTGTGAGGTTCTATTTGTGACAAACACCATTTTAGTCACTATGATATATAAAATTCTGTTTGTGGACATGGATTTCTCTGCTTTTTGTTGTCCAGAAAAATCATCTCCAATTAAGACCAAGTGCATTGCAATCAAGGAAGAGTATTTTGTCAGTCTGCTAATTATGTTAGTGAGCATAATGTCACATGAACTGATGCCTACATTGCATAGTTTAAACAAATATCAAATATCTTTGCTTTTCTCCAACATATCGAGTACAATAAACTGTCTCATGTTTATCAGAAGTTTTGGTTAATTAGCTAATTAATGAAAGTGAATGATAAATTAATCATAACTTTACCAATGTATTTTGTTACTGGACATCTTTAAAATGGATTTCATAGGGAAAATTTTAAAAAAAGAATTTATTAAATTTTGGGAGATCATATAATCTAACATTATATAATGCCATAACATTGATTAGATGTAGAATTAGATTAGAATTAGATGTAGAATAAGCATTTTGACATTTTCTCATTGATTCATTTTGTTTAATATAACATTATGTAACAGTATATAGCAATATAATATAATGTTGTAGTGCAATGTTACTTAAATAAAAAAAAAATCTTGGGAAACACTGGGCTATAACTCCAAACATTAAATTAGCTGTAACTTTATTGTGCTAATTCACACTAAACTATCTTTATACAATATAACTCTCATATCTCTTATTTAAGGATAAGAAATATTTGCTCCCGGGCCTCCCCGGTGGCGCAGCGGTTGAGCGCTGGGTTGCGAAGCTGCGCGCGGCCTCTGGAGGAGGGTCCCACATGGCGCGCGGACCTCTCCTGCCGCCCGCTGCTCCCCTCAGCAGTGTGCTTCGGTCCTTCTGCCTGCTCTGCTCCCCGCTCTGGCTCTGGTGAATTCTCTCGCCCTCCCGCGCTTCTGACTGTACCCAGTGCATGTATAGACAAAACAAACAAACAAACCAGCAAACAAATAAATAAAGCATGCCTCTATAAAAAAAAAAATAAAAAAAAAAAAAAAGAAATATTTGCTCCCATTTGTTTTGTAGAATACTAGATATATTACAATTACAAATTCTGTTTATTTTATTTTATATTTTTTAAAGATTTATTTATTTATGCATACAAGAGCTGGGGTACAGGCCAGAGGTGTGGGCAGTGAGAGGATTCACCAGAGACAGAGTGAGGAGCAGAACAGGCAGAGCCCCTGAATACAACATTGAGGGGAGCAGCCGGCAAGACAGGAGAGGTCTGCTGCGCCATGTGGGTTGCTCCCTGGCCGGCCAGCGGAACAAACTCATGCTGCAGAGGCTGCGGATAGCTTCATAGGTTGCGTCTTAACCCCTTGCGCCAACAGGGAGGCCCTGCAAATTCTTTTTTAAATCATATTAGAATCAAGGGTCTTCACAAGTAAAAGTTTTCTAATTTATCTACAGTTATTGATTTATTCATGTTATTTATACTTTTTTATATTTTTCTATTATTTCTCAATATAAATGATTACCTGCCTTGAGTTACTTATTAAAAACTTGAATCAGACATGCTAAAATGTTGCCTTTTACTCTCAATATATGTTCCAAAGTGACTTTCAAGTCCAGCTAAACTTTGTTTCTCTACATGCTCCTAACAATTGACCTATGCTCATCACATTATAGACAACTGCAGTGGTCTCATCTGTTGTTGTGCTGACAATCACATAGGAGCTTGTTCTTATGAATGTCCTTAGGGAAATGGAATTAGGGTAACTAAATGTGATAAGGAAGGAAGTAGATTAGATTCAAGGTAGTGACATGTGGACTACCAACAGGAGGTGGCAGGTGTGAGTTGATCCCAGAGGACACTCCAAGCCTCTGGGCATCCATCTGAATAGGAGAAAACTAAATGAGATATTGATAGACTATCAATGAGCGCCAGCATGACACAAGTGGCTACATTCAGCCCATGAACCTAAGACAAACCCTAGGTTCTCACTCCTGGCTCTTCTGAATCACTTTTCTGCTGCTCTAAGAGGTTGGAATGAATGGATTTACAGAAGCAAATGGGAAAGAAAGGTAAATCTAACTCTGTGGGTTAACCCATTCACTGCATGTACACAGTCTATGAAGTCATCTCACTCTGTTGTTCTGTACCATTTAATGGTTTTCTATCAAGAAACATAAACATCTATAAACATAATCTCTATAAAGGGATTTACACATCCCTATTCATCCTGGTGTCCCGCTGCATCTCTAACTTCATCTCCTGTGTGCTGCCTTTCACTCTAACTCACATCTCCTCCTACAGCAAGACAGGCAAGACCTCCTCTCAGAACTTTGCAACTGCGGGACCTTTTTCCAAAAGAACATGTCTCTGTCCTGCATTTCTTCCAGGTCTTGATTTAAATGTCAAACCATCATGGAGGCCTTCTACGATGTTCTGTGCCCTCCCACAAACCTAAATTCCAGTTCCCTTTGTTATTTTGGTCAAGTGCATTCATTATCAACTGCTCCTTTCATAAATACTTAGCTATTGGCTTATTTGCATGTCTCCATAAAACAAAGAAGAAGGTTTTCCCCTCTGTTTTACTTGTGACTGTAGACTCTGCCTGAGGTGCAAAGGAGGCACGTAGTAAGTGCCGACTTTTGAATAAATTCTAAAGGTTCATTGCCAATACCTGTTCTAGAAGACTGAGCCTAGCCCACAGCTAAATAGGTCATATATCTCTCCAGTTGTACTGACAGCCCATGATACAATCACTATCGTACATGTTACCACAACCTGACCATTTGGTCAGAGACTCAACAGTGGTTTCCTGATGCTGTGATACTAGAGCAGTAACTATAATCTCATGTTTTGTTTTAAATTTATTCTATTACCTCCCCCCTGAGATTTACCTTCAAGATTATATTTTCTGGACAATGAATGTATCAGAGTAGGTAAATTTTCTGAACCCATTTATATGGGGTCATAGAGAGTAGCTTCTGAAGAAAAACATCTCACTATCTTTCTGACAGCCCTTATTACAATTCCATCCACCCTCCCCTCCATTGGTATAGCACCTGAATAAGGAAAAAGAAAATCTTGTTCGTACAATCAAGAAATAACAGCCTTGACGAAACCCTAATGCTGTTATCAGAATTCTGTTTCCCTTAATTCCCATATGAAGAGTATATTAAAACATATTCGATTATCCTGACTTTGCCCCACAACATGAACATTGATTAATAGCTTCAAATCTATATGCAACCATTGAGGAAGGGGACATCCAAATGTTTAGCATAATCAGGTTAAATAAAAATTTCAATATTATTGATGTTAGTAAATTTGGCTAGGTTTCAGATGGCCCTGATATTCATGCTCAGTTTCATCTAGTTTCTGGGATTTGTTTCATGAACTCCAGGTCATATGTCAGTCACCTTTTACCTGGGGTTAGAGCTCCATTTCTTTCTGCAGAATACTCCTCCTTTGGCAACGAGAAATGTGTGGCTTTTAACAGACATTCAAATTGGTTCCCTAGCGATACTTTTTCAAGTTTCAGAGTAAGAAGTTATCAGATTGTAATTATATTCAAGTCTTTGCTCCTGAATATGACTTTCTTCCAGAAAGATTTCCTCTTCTCTTCTGAGAGTGAAGAATGTCCATCAGTAAGGCTACACTTTGTATTCTGAAAGGCATGGTATGGATGCAAATACATTGGGCTTGATCTTAGTATTTTGTAGAGCATTTGAATGAGGTGGGGTACTACTGCATAAAGGTAGCAATATTTCCCTAAAAATCCTTTGTTTATACATGTAAAATACTTCTTCAGGGTCTTTTAACCAAGGTACAGTAATAGATATGATTTTCATTTTTACCACACATACTTTAATAAAAATAAATCTGTAGGATGTGCTTTTCCTCACAATTGGGATTACCTATAATCAGGCTTAATATTAATCTGGGACTGCTACTCATTCAAAGCAATGATTTAATACCACATATTTATCAAGAAAAACTAACTATGGAATATAAACAAATGCCAAAAGGAAAATCAAAGTCACTTACCCTGAGGAACAGATGGGGGTGATGAACTTTTAAGGCCCGATTTCCTGGATACATTTAATTCAGCGTACATCACTTGTCCATCCATAGCAAAGAGGAGACAGTGGCACTAACTTTGCGTGAGGGAAAACTCTAGGTCCTCTGATGCAAGATCAGCAAAAGGAAGTGCCTAGTCTGAAATGCTTTGTTATCTCCCTTGCACCCACACCTCTAGCTGTGGGTTTCTCCATAAATTAGTGACACTGGCCATTTACTGAGTCCACTGTATTTGAATATTCAATAATGGATTTAGTGAACTAACTGTTTTTTTGTTTGACAAATTGTGGGAAGGCTTGTTTGTAGTTGCACCTCTGACCTTCAGAGGGAAATGAGGTATTCATCTAATGTATAACTTAAAGAGACCCTTAAATAAATACAAAAACCAAAAAAATCAACAACAACAACAACAAAAAAAAACCCAACCCAGTCATCTTGATAAGTAAGACTTACCACAATGTTGTTAAATACTAAGCACTCATGCAAAATAAAGCCCCGTACAATGCCTTCCCCAAACTCTAAATTCTCCCTGAAATATTTGTGCTCCAAAGAAAGCTACAAAATGCAGAAAATGGAGCTGTAGATGTGGAAAAGGCCCTTGACATTTGACAGAAGAAAGAGACCACCAGAAGGAGAGGGGGTGTGGGAGCGGGTGGGCTAGAGCCCCATGGCACTTTGGTGGTGGGCATGGTGTGATAGCACACATTGTGGAGGTGTAGAGGTGTGAACTTATAAGCCTAAAATACATACAGTGGGTAAATTGTTACCTCATAGACATAATTTAAAAATTAGCAAAATGGTGCTTTTAGTGCACTGAAGTTTAATATCAAATTATGAATCATAACTGAGAATACCAGGGACCCACAATTGTCATTAAAATTAATTTATTCAAGGTAAGTGTGCCTACTTCAAATAGAAGTCTGCAAAAAATTTATAAACATCTGGAAATATAAGCTGATAACAGTCTTTATCCACATGGATATTCATGGATGGCTCATTTCATTTTGCTTGTTGTAGTTTTGCTTGTTATGGCAATTATCTGCTCTCATGAAGATCCATAGTACCATTGTATACATATAAAATAAAATGCTCACAGGAATTCAAACCTGGCGATTTTTCTAATTTGTTAATATATTAATTTGAGCATTCAATCACATAGATGACACTTTCACAAGAAAAGTCTATCAGAATTCAGATATCGAAAAAAAAGAATTCAGGTATAGGCTGTCACTGTTATCTCTACCTAGAGAGATTTTACACATACACACATATATATAATATTAAATCTAGAAATTTTAGGGGGTAAAAGATTATAAGTAATTATGAGGTTTGGCATGTAGCAATATTACTAATAATACTATTAATAAGGCAGTATACTGAGTAGTTCAAGGAATAATAGATGTTTAACTACATGACTTATTTTGACATTTAACTTTGCTGGCTCAGTAGTAGATGTTGGGTTAGACAGGAAAATAAATAGGAACAAAATTACCTTATAATATGAAGAAGCATAATTGAAACAAAAAAATTGGTTCCAACATGTGGAGATATGAGAATCATTCTCAAAAAGGTAAAAATAAAAGAGGTAATCTTTTGAAAAAAAACAAGTGGTAATCTTCAGAGAAGGGAAGCCACGCTAGGATGCTAGGTCTAACAGAGTAAAGAAAATAGCAGACTAGGGAACTCCAAGCCCTCCATCGTCCACAGAGACACAGAATTAACAACACTCTAAGGACCATATTACTTCTATAAGAGTCCCTGAGAAGGTTGACAAGCTATAGCACCCAGGTCATTGTAAAACAAAGAAGAGATTGCAATAAAGGAGTAAAAATAATTCCAGCATTTGGTAACTGGTTGATGCCTCTCTTGTTACAGAGCATGGTGAAGCTGCATTAGGAGGAAGCTCATACACTATCCTCCTTGGAAATGGGAAGATGAGTTGGATTGTACCTCCTACATCCTGCATTGACTAGGTGCTATTTGAGGGACTGGATTCTGTCTTGGCTGACTGGGAGACTTTACAGGATCAGGTAAGTTTGGAAACCACTATAAATTGTGGTGAGCCACAGACAATCCTGAAGTTCTTCAAGCAGACATAGGGGTCACAAGAGATAAGGAAATGTAGAGAAATACTAGCATCTCCAGCTTTGCAAGATAAAATCATTACACAGAACTCAATTGCATTTTTATGCACTAATGATGAACAATTTAGAAAGGAAATGAAGAGAAATATTCCATTCACAAATCATCAAAAAGATTAAATGTTCCACCATAAATATGATTGAGGAGGTGAAAGACATTAAAACAATAAAACTGTACTGAAAAAATATAAAGCTGTAAGTAAATGAAAATACATCCATGGATTAGAATATATGGATTAGAAAAAGTAATATTGTTAAGCTGTGTATACTACCTAACGTGTACTATAGATGAGTCAATTTGATGAACCAATTCAACCCATATCCAGATTACAAAAGTATATTTTTTCAGAAACTGAAAAACCAGCCTAACATTCCCTAATCAAAACAGTGTCTTATAAACACAGCAAAATGGCCAGAATAAGCATCATGTATATGGCCATATGATCTTTAACAGTGAGACCAAGGGTGTTCAATGGGGAAAAAAATGTCTTCAACTAACGATGTGGGAAAATAATATATATTCACACGCAGAAAAATGATGATGGGCCATTTTTTTACACTCTATATAAAATTAATGGCAAGTGGATTAAAAATCTAGTATAAGACTTAAAACTATAAAACTCTAGAAGTAAACATAAGAAAAGCTTCAAGACATTGGACTTGGCAAATGATTTCTTTCATGTGATATCAAAATCATAGGCAACAAAAGGAACAATAAGCAAATTTTAAAATTTTTTTGTGCCAAAGGACACAATCAGTAGAGTAAAAGGTCAATTTATAGAATAGGAGAACATATATGTAAATCGTATATTTGATAAGGAGATAATATCCTGTACATATATAGTACTTCTATGGCCCATTGTCAATGGCAACAAAATGAGAGAACCTGGTTAAAAAGTGAGCAAAGGTCTTGAGTAGACATTTCTCCAGAGATGGTATACAAATGGTCAAAAGTATAGGGAAAGATGCTCAACATCACTAATCATCAGGAAAATACAAATCAAAACCACAATGAGATATTGCCTAAGAACAGTTAGAATGACTAACACATACACAACAAAATCAGAAAATGACAAATATGAGAAAGAATATAAAAACCACATTGCCTTAGGGTAAATGGTGCAACCACTATGAAAAATAACAAAGAGTTCAGTCAACACTACAAAAGAAAAACTACCCTATGAACCAGGACTCCTATGTCTGCATATATATTCAAAAGAATTTTTCTTAGTGATATTTAAATCACTTTTTTTATAGCAGCACTGTTCAGTATTCACAATAGTTTAAACAACCCAAATGTCCACTCCCAGATGACTGGAGAGTGAAAATGTGGTGTGGAACACCGTTCCTTTTCAAGAAGAAGGAAACTAAGTCATACTCCATTGTGGATGAGTCTTTAGGTTTTATAAGCATGAGTCCAATGAACAAATATTATTTCACTTGTATAAAGTATGAAAGCAGCAAAATTCACAAGAACAAGAAGTAGGTGACTCACTAGGGTGTGGGGAGGAAAGAAGTTACTAAGTATGTATAGAATTTCAGATTTGTAAGATGAGCAATTCTGGAGATCTGCTTTACAACAATATAAATAAAGTTAACACTTTGGAGATGTAGTGTTAAAATTTGGTAAGAAGGTAAACTCTGTCTTATGTCTTTTTACCGTAATAGATAATAGAAAAATAATACAGAAGAAAATTTGTGCAACTGGGGGAAAACTAATGTTCAGTAGTAACAAATAAGGAAGGGAGAGAATGTACTCTAAAATATCAAAGATGTAGGACAGTGGTCTTGATGGAATGACTCTGTCTCCTCCACCCAGAGATGAGGGAAATGGTCAGTTGGAGGAAAGCAGTGAGACAATGGGTATGGGAGAACAGTAAGAGCCTCCAAGGACTCAATGGGGGTGCAACAGCCTCACCCCACTTGTGTTCCACTTCATTTACTTGTCTCAGGAATCTGTGAGCTCTGCTGACTTGCTTATTCAATATGGAATTAGAAAGAAAATTATTCCTAAGTGTAAATATTGAAATTTGTAAATTTCACTGAAGACCTCTCATCTGACTGTAGCTTGTTAGACCTTTGCTTGGTCTTCTCACTCATCAGGGTCCAGCTTTATTTGTTAGGTCCCCATTTCTTTGCACATGTCTCAGTATTTCAGTGTTTTATAAAAATAGATACATTTTTACCTTTCCTCTTGTTCTTGGAGATTGTTCATGCAGGATATATTTACACATTATTTTTATTTTTTTGTTTTATTTTTTTAAAGATTTATTTATTTATTTATACAAGCATTGGGTACAGTCAGAAGCATGGGAGGGTGAGAGAATTCACCAGAGCTAGAGCGGGGAACAGAACAGGCAGACTGATGAAATACACTGCTGAGGGGAGCAGCGGGCATGGCAGTGGAGGTCTGCGTGCCATGTGGGACCCTCGCTGGCCGCTGGGAATTGAACTGGCACTGCAGAGGCTGCAGGCAGTTTTGCAGCCCAGAGCTCAACTGCTGCGCCACTGAGGAGGCCCTATACATTATTTTTAAAGCGTTAATATCAATTATGTCTGTTTCACAATTAGACATGAATTTTCTGGTAACATGCATGTTAAGAGCCTGTATCTCTGAATTATATACAATGTTGTAAACCAATGTTATTGCAATTTAAAAAAATGGAAAATTTCCCCTGAACCACAGCTATACTTGCATTGTCAGGGAAAAATTCCATGGAAATAGCTGAAGAAATGAATCCCTGTCTCAGGTACTTGTGCTGTCCTGTGCTCCATGTTGGCGCTGGAGAGTAGGTGTGCAGCTCCTCCTGGTTGGGTTTGCTGGAGCTGCCATAACAAAGTGCCCTAGTCTGGGTTCTCTTTCTCATATAGTTCTAAGGGGTTAAAAGCCTGAGATCAAGATGTTGAAGCAGGTTAATTTTGGGA